AAAGAGCTGAGGAAAAAAGGAATGGAAGAAAGAAAGGGAAAACACAACAGTGGGTTCTTTGGTTTATTAAGATAATTTACACTTCAGGAGTGTGACATTTTCTTACTTTTTGATCTGTTTTTCTATTTGCAGCAAAGTCAATGATGCCAGAAAGAAACCCCTTCATATGCTATGCTAGCAGCAGATCAATCTATAGAGCAAAAAGCAAACAAAATCAGCTTTATGCTTATTTTCAGGGATAAACCATATTGAATTACTGAATCTTGGGGGAAAAAAAGAAATAGAAGTTTCACCAAAAGACATATAGCACATTATATGTTACGTACACAGTATTTCTGAAGTTGTTGCAACACATTTTTCTCTACCAGAACTAAGAACTGTGGGGTGGCTTTCATCTGTCTTTTAGGTTTTAATTGGTTTTATGTCTCTTTCCTTTTTACATAAATATACACATGCCCACACATAGATCCATCCACACATATGCACGCATTCATTTCATTTAGAAATATTGATTAATATTCTTAATAATGCAAAAATTCAAGCAGAGATTGTACTCCCCATAATAGTTCTGAATCGTATTGTGGTTCTTTGTACACGCAGTAGTAAATTACAATAGTGCAATAACCATCCTAGTGCTTGATATTTACATCAAAACACAAATATAGTGGATTCACATAAACTTACTTCCATAGTCATAGGTTGGGAAATTTGAATTCTGGATTTCTATTGCACTTCTAATATTGTACTGTATGCAAGTTGCCAAATAATGGTATTTCATTTTAATGTAAATAAAATACTGTTTATTTGTAATTGGCTATCCAAGAGAAAATGAAGAAGAAGATGGAAGCAGAAGCAGCAAGTAGACAAGCAGATGTAGATGTGCACTTGGATACCAGGACCTCTGGATAGCAAAGGAGCATACAGTACCCAGCACCTTGAAGATAAACAACTTGGGAAACACTATCAGGAAAGCACCGTACAGATAACAAGATAATGCTCTCAAAAAGGGATGCACAGGAGTTGAACTCTCTATATCACCTCCTGTTCAGAGCACCAGCAGAAGAAGCAAGCTGGGCAGTCTTAAAACATTCTGTATGTCAGTACCACCGAGTCTTTGGAACAGATCCCCAAATTTTCTGTGGTTGAAGCTAGTTTTGCTTTTTCTCTGCAACTGGCTGTAAAAACCCAACCAAACAGAAACACAATGGTGATGAAGCCTGGTAAGCAGCAGATGCTAACAATGCCAGACTGGAAATGATGAAGTCAAGCAGTTTGGCCACTGAAATTTCACAACGGATGGTGATGTTCCAGTAACGAATGGATGCTGGAGATTCACAATGGCTTATTCAGCATCCACATACACTGAATAAAGAGACTTGAAAAAGAAACACACACAACCACAAAAGCCAAGCTGGTAGAAGCACTCATTTGGGTAATTGTTATAGATGAATATGACAACTGAATGGTTATGAAAAGCTGGACCCAGATGGCAGGAGGTAAGAAAAGATCATAGCATTTACTATGCAGCATAGCTGTGAGCAATACAAGGACAGATTACTCCATTAATATCAGGGAAATGGAAGAGGATCTTTTCATTGCTGTGGGAAGATCAAGATATTAAAATTACATATGTACATATGTCAAGAAGTGAAGACCCATTGCAGGACAGACACAGGAACATTTAGGCAGCTCCTTTTAGAATTGCATATATGACTTCAGAATGTTTGATCCAAGGAAGTTTGGCAAATGTTTAAGACCTTCTACAGTGCTTTGTAAAAAATCAAACTATCATGTAGTTGAGAACATTTGCTTTGACTTCTGATATGTCTGAGGAAGGCCAGTGATTTCACTGGGGAATCTTATGGATGAAATGAAGGGCACAAGTTTGTTGTCCTAACAATCTTCGTACTTGATTGGGCTTAAACAATGAAAGGGTGCTTTTTTCAAAACCATACTTGAAAACAATCTTAATTTAAATATCTTGAGTCTCACAAATCACCATCATTTTGAAAAGACACTCAGGAGAGTGAAACATATTATACATTTACAGACATGTGGTCTTTATTTGAGTCAGAAGATAACAAAGGTGTCGTGTGGCTAATACTAGGGTGATTAGTTAATGGAACAAAACGAGAAAATTATGAAGAGCAGCAATTGCTGCTGCTTGGTTCTAGTAATCTCCCAGAGGCATAGAGTCCAACATTAGGAGCAGGACAGAAAAAATAGTTTAATAATGTAGAAAAACACTTATTGTTTATAGTCTTTCTTACTGCTGCTGTACATTCCTGTCTTTATTTGTAAAAAAAGATTGTGTGTAAAAAGTTTGTAGTGTTCACTGAAGATAACTGACTGAAATAACTGGATGGGTATTAGAGTGTATAATCATTGTGCTTGCCAGAAGTATTTGAAAACAGCACGTGCATCAGAAATTAAAATATTTTGCTGGCCTTCCAGAGTTTTTGCTAAACCTAGTGTGCATTGGAACCTGGGTGAATGAAATCCCATTAGTCATCACCATCTTAACAATATGCACTTCATACAGAGCTGGATTCTGTACAGAGAAAGGAAATTACCAGTACTAACAAAGGAAAGAAGATTTGTAATGAGCAAATATATAAAAGCTCTAAATAATTATTATATTCACAGCTTGGCAATGACTTTCTAGGTTAAGAGATTACTTTTCTTTTGGAATAATGAAGATTTTACAAGGTTGGTATAAACAAAGGGTAATTGGAAAATCAAATTGCTCTGCTCAAGTTATTGTAAACTCTGGAACAATGGCGATAACACTTTAAAAAGCTTGCTCATTAAACACTGTATTTTTGTTTTGTACATTATTGCAATCAAAAATGCTCCCTTTCAAGCGCTACACAGGAAACATAAATGGCTAAATAGAAATTCCAGCTTACCCCTGATACAATAAGCTCTCCTCCCAGGTTCTGTACTTCTGCTTTCACTTTGCTGCAGATATTGAGCTGGTGGCAGTAGAGGGCAATGCGCTGCAGGTAGGCCAGCAGGTCCTGTTTGCAGGCGGAGTCCGGGCACTACACACAACACAAACGTTTCATTAGCAGTGGATGAGTTTCTGTGACTATAGAGAGGTAATCAGAGGAGATATTAGCAATGTGTGTGCATTAGGTGGATCCATTTCACTTTGTCTTTACATGAGATACTTGACGAAATGTGAAAATTCAAACTAGCTTTCATTTAAGTCAAGACTTATGAATTGCAACCTGAATATGCACTGTGCCTTTTTGTAAAAGGAAGAAACCTCTCTGTTAGCCACTAAGGAAAGACAAGGAGTGTTCGTGGAGGAAGGTCACTTACGATATCAGTTTGTAAAGAAGAGAAGAATCTACTCAGCAGAAACAAGACCAAGTTTGACTTGGAACTCCAGGTTGCCTGCTGAGTGTCCAGGTTAAGATACAACACGGACCAGTTAAAGTTCAGATGAACCCAGTTTCTACTGATTGCATCCACTCTAATGCCAGCTCTTGACTGTCTTGCTAGCTTCTGTGGCATTTGTGCAGACCTTCAGAGGACACAGCTCTGCTTCAGACTTGCCAGCAGATGGGTCTCTTACTGACACACTAAAGACTCAAGAGGCAGAGGTGAGGCTGCTTGGGTTTGTTACTGACAGATTTGGCAAGCTTACTGTTAATGCATAAATACCTTAATCTGTTCCAGAAGGAACTATTTACTAAAGTGTAGGTGACATATCACAGTCCCTCAGTAGATTATATCAGTATTGCAGCTCTTCTCAGGAACACAGTTAGATAAGCTGGTCCCTCTGCATGTCTAAGAGATAACTCTTCATACTAGAGGGAAGGCTATCTACACTCCTGTGCCATTTTGGGTGCTGTGCATCTCAAATGTGCTTGGATACAAACTACATCAGGTCAAAAGTGGTGGACTTCGTGAAGGTTTTGTAATCAGTATAACTAGAAAAGGTCCAAGTACAATTTATTCATAGTCTTTGGGACTCTAAATGGAAACTGCATCATCCCCCACAACAACAAAGGCATAATAAACAAGTCTTGTCATTAATATTCAAAGTCTTGACTCAAGAGAACAGACCTCAGTAATTCACTGTGATGAAACATTACTGAAAGGGTCCATTGCTAACAGCATGTCTCCAACAAACACTCTTTGGGACTATCCAACAAAGTCTGACTGACAATGCTCTTTGCATGTATAACTTGGGGAGCAAGGATGCTGAACGTGTCTTTTCAGCATCTTACAAAGTCTATGCTCAATCTCTGTAAAATATTTTCAGAGCACTTCAACAAAACCTGATAGAATTAAACACACTTGAGTCAGCAGCATCATAGCTTCTGACTTTGGGTGATTGCTCTCTCCCCAACAGCTAAGGCTGGCAAGGAATATGTTTGCAGTGAGGTAGTTGCATGTACTGTCATCTATAAACCTGAAAGCAGTCACTTTGCTTTCTTCTTTCCTTTTAAAACTAAGAATAAACAAAGCTGGAGGTTCATTGTTGTTAGGTTTCATCTGCACTATACTTATGGCAATGCTATGATGCCACATCTTTCAGGCATAAATGTCTAAGAGTTCTCCCTATTGGTAACAATTTAATACAAAAATATTTACCCTAGTCTTGAAGTCTGTGAACTGAAAAACATGAACTTTAAAGCAATAATTCTAGAGAGCTGACAAGGCTTCAAATACAAGTACCTCGGAGCAAGTGAAAACGTAAGATCTCTCACATTGGAACACTAATTAAAAATGCAACTGTCCATAAAAAGTTTATATTGCATGAGTGTCTCCAACGTTCTCTAAAATATCATTAAAGCTCAAGCATTAAAACAAACGCTTAATTCCCACGGTGATTTTACTGTTTATTATTAAAGTGTGCAAGTTACAGTCTTCTGAAATGTAAAATGTGTCTCAAGCCAATGCACTCCAAGCATAGCAGGTCTCTGTGTTTCTTCCTTTAAAATATTCCCCCTCTGCAAGTATTGTAGACTAGGAGTTTCATCATCTGACAGATGGATTTCTTCTTTCATATACTAAAATGAACAGATGCTACATTGGAAGGATTGGAATGGGTTAATTACAGGAAATACACTTGCTGATAATTAAGAAAACCTAACTAAAAATTTCTGAGGTTATAAGAAAATGGGCAGCTTCAGATTTCTTGCTACTCTGGCCTATATTCCCTGGCAGGACGTGTTACACACTATTACATGGTTACTTAAAGAATAAAAAGAAATACTGATTTTGAAGAGAAAGACTAGGTACAAGGAACTTATTAGTCCCCACTTCCAGCAACATTTTTCCTGATGGCAATGAAAGGAAAGGAACTATAGGAAGTTTACCAGGAAAAAATAGTCAAATTTATTTTGCCTAAAACTAAAATTAGCTACCTAGAACCTGAATTTAAAATTTGGGTCTTGATTTTTAATAGGATTCTTTCTCCAGATGGATAGATAGTCCAATCTGAAAGAAAGAAGCTGAATATAGCAAGTTCATCTTTCCAGTTGTGACATGATTTTGGTAATAGAACTAAGGAAAAAGACCTTTGAACATGGAGCAGGGAGCTTTAAGGTGAAAGCACAATACCCTGAGGAAAACAAAGCAGAAGAAAGGGAGTCATGGAATCTTGAAAAAGGAAAGTGCCATATCAAGGGAAATTGCTGGAAGAATGAGCTGAAAAGAATATCAGGATTCCAGGGCATATGGCAAGTGTATCAGACCATCCAAGTCTCTACTGCTTTCATGACAGCAAATCAGTCTAGTTCTAATACAGTCACCTTGGTCCAGAAGTTAGGCTGTGGAGCAATTCAGGCATTTCTGAGGTTTAGAGACTCATTTATGAATTTCCTGCACTGCAAACCCCAAGCTGATTGATATGGAGGAAACAACCCATATTCAATGGGTAGATCAGTATCCAGGCAGCGATTTTCAGTAGGTAATTTTCAGTTAAGTAAAGATAACCTTTTTCTTGCAAAAGGCAACTCCTTGATAGAGGTTTCATCCTATTTCTGCTCATTTTTTTCTTGTTACCTGATCAGCTACCGCCCGTGCCAATTTGTCCATCCTTGATCCTGCCTCTGCAATCTTCTTGGCTGCATTAATGACATCTGATGTATTCTTCAGGGGGCCTTTACCTCTGTGAAATACAATATAATTACACACAACCTCAATAAATCATGAAAGGCAACAGTTTTAGTGACCCTGTTTAGTGTTTGATTTTAAAATAGTAACAGGAATGACTTCTTAATTGATTACTTTTTTTTTTTTTTCCCCTTTTAACTACTTTATAGTACAAGTTGATTAAGAAATTGGTCTGCTATGTTTCTTCTCTCTTACAAAATGCCTCACTAGCAATTTAGTCTAGGCACCTTCAAGCACATGAGCTATGTACTTAATAGTATATGCATTTTTAAGTGCTCATTAAGCCAACATTCTTTTTGGAGTACACAACTACTTCAAAATTCTGCAACTCCCAAACCAGTGCTAAATGTTAACCCTGTCATGTCTAGAGCAAGAATATCACATTTCAGAGAACCTTTTTTAGAAGTTTCTTTCAGAAAACAGATAAATGAAGCATAGTTACATTTAAGTGTTACACTTAAAACACGTATAATCAGGTTTAATACTGATCTTTGACTATACTTATTTAAGACGATGAACAAACCACTGATTTTAGTCATGATAGTTATCAAAATGTATATTGACACAAATTAAAAAGTTATTGCAGACTTTTCTGAGTTTGCTTCAGACTCAAATCTTTAAACTTGTAATAATAAATTTGCTGCTGAGAATGTCTCAGCTTGAAATGTGTTTTTTGTTTTGTTTTTTTTATACTATGTGGAGAAATATCACTTCAGACAAGACTGATAGAAAATCATAAGATCAAACTTACATAATTTAAAATGAAAACTAAAAGCATTTCTCCTAAGCACAGCATAGTATTATTTCTTCATTTTTGATCTATAATGCCATTAATCACATATTAAAATTTTTTTAAATTTTTAGCCTCTTTCCATACTTTCATTTCCACCTTAAACAGATACTGAGATAAAAGTATCCCACTTTTGCTGAACTTAAACTGATGCAAAAATCCTTCCTAGTGACCTCGTGTGCTTCCACATTAATTATATCAGCAGATCTGACTGTCACAAACCCCATATCTTTTGAAAAAAATTATTCTATTTTAACACTACTGAGGTTACAGTCAAGCAAAAAGGTGTGAAAGACTTTGTTCTGTTTTAATGGAATATATTAAACAAGCTTTTACTGAATCTGGTGGTATGCTTTGATTTTTCTTTTTTTAATTTGCTTCAAATGTGACAGTAGTTTTCTCTTATTCTCATATCAGTTTTATGCTTTTGAAGGTAGAAAATGTAACTACAAAACTTTCAGTTTGATGTTAGATGTAGCACAGGTTGTCTGGGAGGTTGCAGAAAGTGTTCATATTCTGGGCTGTTGCTTTAGAACATTATTTCTTCCTTCTATGAAATTATGGCACTGTTTGGACAGTTTTTCACTCTGTTTTTGGGAAGAAGATCAGAGACCCAAAGACAATACAAACACAAAAGTAATTAAGATTTCTCTAAAACAGCATCATTAACAAAAGGTTCTACACTGTCATTTGGTACACAGGAGGGGTGAGTCTACTGCAAAAAGAATAGTTGTAAAAGCACAAACTGAGAGAAAAAAAACATAAGCTGAGAGAATTACTTGGAAAGAAGTCTAGTAATAATCTATTAAAGTAAGCAAACTTTCAGTAAGCATAATTAAATTTAAAATGAATAAAAATGCTGTTGCCTATACCAATTAAATAATTGTGCAAGTGCATATAGTCAAGTTATTTGCAATTTAATGGTATTTATACACCTCTCTATCTACCTATCTATCTATCTGGGATGTGCAAACTATATATTGTCACTGGAGAGACTGTCTTCTCCAAAATGGGTTGAAGGCTCCAGACACAAGGCATGAGATGAGCTAGAGACGAAGAGATCCACTTAAACATCTCAGTGAGATGAATAAATGGATGTTTTATTTTAATTCTAAAGAAAAACATGAAGATTTTTGTCCATTTTTGTCTAATGACACTTTGATAAATAACATTTAAATTCATTAAAAATAAATACTAAAAAAAGTTTATCGTGGTGATCTGTAATTCAAAGAATCTTGTAAGATGTTTTCCCTAGTGTGATTAACAATATTTAAACAAAATATTTCTGTTTGTATCATGTCATTAACGAATGGCCTTTTGATGCTTTGCAATTAAAAAAGAACAAGACATCAATAGAAATAAAGAGATGAAATAAAAAAAAAATCACTACTGACAGGCTCCAGTAAAGTACTAGATCAAGCCACTTTAATTTCATTTGGGATTTTTTTTGGAAAGAAGTTCAGTGTTCAAACAGATATAAATAGTTCTACCATTATCTTTGATTGACAGAAATTGTGGTGAAATGTGGAAAGTTCAAGGAGCACATGCATTTAGATGGGTACTAAATGGAATGTCAGTGGAATGTCTGCAAGGTCAGAGACTATCTTAGCTGCTGAAATTCAAAATGATCTCCAAATAAAACAGATTTGCAAATAGGACAAAAATTCATGTGCCTAATCCCATGTTGAGAAATATCTAGAGTGGTCAAGAGTAAAGAGCTGTGCAACCTATCCCATTATATATGATGTGTGTTTCCTGGATCTTCATCCCCCAAAACACAGCACAGCATCTCAAAGGGCTATAAAACAAAAAGGAATGATGTAGGATGTCTGAAGAAACCCTCAGCACAGTTTATTTAGTCCTTACCTAGTAAAGTCAGTCATTTCCATCATAATCATGCACATCTGCTTTGCCAACACAATGATGTCATTACCACTGTCATCCCACTTGGCCACCTCTGCATCCAGTTTGCTCTTTTCCTGGTGGAATATCTCTACCTGCTCTGCAATCTTAGCCTTCTCCTCCTGGGGAAGCTGAGCCATGATAGCCTGGAGAGAAAATGGAAGAAGTTGGGCATGAAAAAAGGAAGCTGGAAACTATACACACCTCCAGTGGTTCAGGTAGCACGCCCAACTTCTAGTGTCTTTTCATGGGACTCAAAGGTGCCAAGCAAAATCCAGTAGATATCAGATTTCTGTTAAGATGGGCAAAAACAAATTCACAGGATCTTTATAGTTCATGTTATATCTTCAAGAACTTAAAAATTATATATGTGATGGACTGGAAGGGTTCTTAAAGATAATCTAGTTTCAAACCCTGTGCCATGGGCAGGGATATCTTCCAATTGATCAGGTTGCTCAAAGCCATAAGGTCTGCCTAGGGCCTTCCTTCTCTTCTCCAGACTGAACAACCCAAACTCTCAGCCTGGCTTCCTCAGAGAGGTTCTCCTGCCCTCCAATCACCTTCACGGGCCTCCAACATGTCCATGCCCTTCTTATGCTGGGAGGCCCAGAGCTGGATGCAGTACTCCAGGTGTGGTCTCACAAGAGCAGAGCAGACAGGGAGAATCACCTCATTCAACTTGCTGGCCACACTTTTCTTGATGCACCACAGGGTACAGTTGGCCTTCTGAGCTGCAAACACGTCGGGTCATGTTGAGCTTCTCATCAACCAACATCCCCCAAGTCCTTCTCTGCAGGGCTGCTCTCAATTCATATTCTGCCTAGACTGTATTTGTGCTTGGGATTGCCTTGATTTATGTGCAGGACCTTACACTTGGTCGTGTTGAATTTAATGAGGTTGGCATGAGCCCACCTATCAAGATTTTCCAAGTCCCTTTGGATGACATCCCTTCCCTCCAGCCATGTAGACTGCACTAGACAGCTTGGTGTCATTGCTAAATTTGCTGAGGATGCACTCAATGCCACTCTCCATGTCACTAACAAAGATTAAACAGCACTGGTCCCAGTATTGACCCCTGGGGAACACCAGTCATCACTGGTCTGCACTTGGACATTGAGCCTTTGGCCAGAACTCTCTGAGTACATCCACCTAGCTAATTCCTTATCCAGTGGTGCATCTGTCAGATCCATGTCTCTCCAGTTTAGAGACAAGGATGTCATGTGGGACAGCATCAAATGTTTTGCTTATTCAGCAGTATGTAAAGGAAGATATAAGAAAACTCCTGTTAAATCTTAACTTTTAGGAAGAACAAAATAAATAAGATCCAAAGGAAAAGGCAGACTGCATTGCCAGCATCTCTCCCAGTCTCAATCCCTGTCAGAAATGGAGGTTTTCTGCTTAATTCAACAGCAAAATAAGCTATGACATGTGAGAAAATCCACTTGAAGTGAATTGTAATGGATGTACCTTTGAATAATATTTAATGGTCTAATCGTTTCCTGGAAGATCCACAAAAAGGCACTAAACAGGTTGATACTAATCTGCCTCAACAGTATCAACAAAGTCAGAAGTTCCCTGCCCCTCCAAAACGCAGAAAAAAAGAGAAGTCCACAAAATTATAATAATTAATTTTGAAGATCAAATGGACACTTCCAATAATGATTCCCAAGTTGAGCGCTACTTTTAGCTTTAGGGATTCTGAAGACCACACTATGCATTTAATGGGGTGTGACACATATTTAAGTGTCATTACATTTTTTCTTGTTTATGTCACTTTCAATCAGCTGAAGCCTTTCTCTACATATTCTTAAAATGCTCTTGGCTTTTAAAAATTCATAATTGACCTTTTCCAAAACTGAAATTAGAAAGGTTATAAACAGTAGATCAGAAAACGGGAAGTTTGCAAATTAATCAAATTAAAATTCAACACATGAGTTTTAATTAGGCCTTATCAATGCAACTCAGCAGTTTAGAATGTTAGCATATTAGTCTTTCCACAGAAAAACGCAGTGTAAGTCAAGCTAATAAATAGATAAAATACACATAAAACACTAGAACAGATGAATTAAGTGAAATTAAGAGAATGTGATAGGAGCAGTAAAATTTGGAAAGCTGATCTATGTGTCCTGCAAGTGATTCTCTCTGTGGGCAGCTTCACCTACATACCCTTTAAACTGGAATACAGTGTTTTAACATTTCTACTCCACCTGCTGATATGTTTCCAAAGCAGCTACGTCCTACCAGCAAATGCAGCTCATATATTTAGGCTTTATTTCTACTGAAGATGCACACAATTCTACTGAACTACTAATAGCTTTATGAAGTAAGCATATTAAACAAATCCATTACATTCCACAAATAAAAATCCAGCTTTTTCTACAGAAAAGGTTCAAATAAGATTCTCTTCTGCTTAGTAGACTCATTTCAATGAGCCACTCAAGACTGCAAGACTGGGTGGCTTCTGCTTAGCCTCTTTTCATTTTCATAGTTTGTTGTTTCTTGTGAAATATTGCATTCTACCTTATTCAGGAATGGGACTATGTTTACAATACATTATGTTTATACAGTCTGTAGCTGATCAAAGCAGAAGTTTTTAAGCTCAGCAGTGATAAGAGCCACAATAAACGTAATGGAATTTAAGACTCCTGAGTCCCTAGGTGAACTATATTCTTGGTAAAAATATTACTGCAGTCTTTACTTGGTTTTCAGATGAAGAAAGGACGATATGCTACCTGATTCTAGATGTAACCATCAGAAAAAAAAAACAAAACAAAAGATAAAAAAGACTGTGAAATAACTATATTGTATCTCTGTACTTTTGTACCTGAGCCTTACTTTAATAGCCAATTACTTGAATATATCAAACAGGACTTTTATGTCTTTAAAATACAAAAAAAGCATCTGAAGATAATCACCTGCACCTACAATACAGTTCTGTCATCATCCTCGGGTAAGGTATCTGGGTATCATGCTGCAATTCTCCTGACTGCAGAGTTTTCAAATCCAGTTCCTAGTCACCCAGCTCTCTGGGATGGGACCTACAATCCATCTGCTCTTCATCTAGGTTATAGTGATATATATGATATGTCCTTGACAGGGAAGGACAAAAGTTTTGTCCTTGGGATGTATGATTTATTTATCATGTGTATTCAACATTCAAGGACATGAATTTAAGAAAAAAAATAAACTTTTGCCCATTCCATTGTACCTACATCTCACATTTCTCCCATACTTCTAAGTAACATTCATTTAGGTCTGCATTACTGTTTCTTTTCAGGGTCTGAAAGGATTCTGTCAAGCCCTAGCAGACTGTGGGACTTCTTACAGCAGCTGAAAATTCCTTCTTCCTGGTCCTCTGAATCATTTCAAAGCATCATTGCCTTTTGGTCTTCAGCTTCTCAGCCTTACAAATCCTCTTCCAGAATTCAAGATAAGAAGTCACTGTTCTGTTTACCAGCTTGTGCTAAACTTTCTGTGGGGGATGTTTCTCATGTAGTCCATTACTTCCCTTTTAGCAGTTATCAGAAGAAATCACTGCCATGATAATCATTCAGGTAACTCCCAGTTCCTCACTGATCCTCTGCTGGCAAATTTTAAGGCTTTTCTTCACACTTTCTATGCAGTCAGAAATATTTTCATAGAATCACAGAATGGTTTCAGTTGGGAGGGAACTTTAAAGGTCATCTCATTGATGTCCAGGTCCTCCTGGATGGCATTTTGTCCCTCAGGCATGTCAAGCACACCACTCAGCTTCATACTGTTTGCAAACTTGCTGAGGGTAATCGATGTCATTTGCCCCTCCAATGATATTCTGAAATTTCTTTTTAACAAACTGAGCTGAGTGGCCTCTTTAGTAAAAGATAAACATTCATCAGAGGGTGGCATAATCCTGAGTGTTAACAAACTTCACTTTTCCAGCACCTGTGACCCCTGAAGCACTCATCAGCTTAATTTGCAATCCCCACGCTCGAGCTAAGGTCACAAATCACAATGACTCAAGTTTATCATGATGTAATTACCCTGGTAAAATTACATTGACTCAGTAACAAATGTCTTCAATTACAATTAAATTACAGGGACTACTCGGTAGCTTAAACGGATCTTCTTGACAGGTTTGCACACTGGGAAACATGACTAATGGAAGATTTCTCTGGATACAGCACATGGTGCCCTAATAGGACTGTTTTTTTTTGTGTGTGTGTTTTTTTTTTTTTTTTTTTGGTTGTTTGTTGGTTTGTTTTTTTTTTTTTTAATTTGCTGAGTACTCCAATGGTTTCAGCACATTCCAAACCTGCAAGGCAGTAGCTGCTACAAAACATCACATAAGCCTAAAGAACATCATTCAATAAAGATAGGGCTTTTCAAATAGGGGAGGCATGAGAAAACTTTAAACATGTAGATCAGCTTACTCCTATCCTTTTTTAAGTGACCCTGAAGATCTGAAATCACTGCATTTGCTTTCCCAGGCATAGCTTCTTATTTGTAGCTGTATGACACCTGATGGGGTACATGGGTTTTATACTCACCCTTGCACTCTGGCCAGCAATAAGTTGGTCATCTTCAGTCTGAACACTTGTTCGGCTGCGAACATCATAATCTTCCTGCTCAAAGTCTGAATCATCCTCTAGTTCTTCAGGGGTCTAGAAAGAGAGAGAGAGAGAGAGAGAGAGAGAGAGAGAGAGAGACAGGGAGAGAAGGCAAAAGAGGAGATGACAAGCTTATAAAGGATACAGACAAAGTCCAATGTACAGTGAGCTCCTATTTCATCGACTACCTGCCCAGAAAATGCTGTTTCTCTTTCCTTTTAAATTAACTTGTCTGCCCAAGCAGTCAAGAACTGAAATTGAATTGTCTTAAAAATTAAGTTGTTCCAACTCTCGTTTTCTTTACAAATGGCATTTATCATTACCTTGCTGCAACTTTTCTTAACTCTGTTAACATGATGAATGCAGCTCCAGGAACAAATATCCTTTGGAAACACTAGTACCAGAATGCAGTATTTCTAAATAACATTATTTCACACATAAATGGACACTAATACTATTACTTGAATCTCCATGTAATCTTCAAAAGAGAAAATAAATACCTTGCAAAAAAGTAACTAACACCCTGGAAGAAAAAGCTATCAAAGCAAATAACAGATTTCTCCTTGAAACAAAATTTAAATTATGTCAACTGGCTTTGAAACAAATGTGAAGTTTATAATCTGCTTTACCTTGTTGGTGCACGTGGTTCTTTTCAGATACAGAACTTTGGAATTTGCCTCATCTCTTAAACTGAAATCATACCACCCTCATTGCTGGTGCAAGTGGTGTGGGGGTCTCTGGACAGACTGATTAAATCTAGTTATGCATATGCTGGGTTCAGGCTGTTTAAAGTGTTGAAAGGAGTGAGAAGAGAACTGCTGGATCTGTTGTTTTTTTCCCCTTCCAGCAAAAAA